ATACCATTTAAAAGTCACTTGCCAACCCGATTTCCGGGGAGTTAGATGATTCAAAAGACAAAACGAATGGATTTCGGAAAACGAGCAAAATTTCAAGTGTTCATAATTTATGAAATAGCTATAACAGGCTTACTAACGCCAATTGTTCGTGATTATAACTGCCTGTTCGCTAACGTGATGCTGATTGGTTGGATATAGAATAATAACTCCGTGACTGAATTTCAAAGTAATATCGATTCAATTTAAAATGAACTGAACTATAAAGTTCACGTCTAAACCTGGCATGAACCGAGTTCAAACTGAAGACGACAAAATCTTAACGATAACTTTCGGCTCCCTGGGTGATAAATTTATCCAATACTGTATTCAATATCTCCAAAAACTTTACCCAACGTGTATCTAATTTGAACTCTTCAATTTTAATTTAGAGCCCTAAACCTTAAAAAACATATGTATGTGATGATTTAAAATTAATATTTATAAGTTTACCAAAAAAAATTAATAACCAATTTTCTTGCTAATAAATGTTTTTAGATTTGTATATTTTTAGTATATTAAATAATTTGAACTTTTTTCTTATATATAATATAAAATAAATATCTTTATTTTCAAGTATGCGTTATCAAGAAATTTGTTTAAACATACATATATTTTAGAATAATAAAAAATATTCCACCTCCGTCAAAAGTGACCTTTAAACCTTCAAAATCTTGAAACTAAACTCTCCAACCTAAGTTTTTCAAAATGTTGGTATTGGATGCTTGCGGTTTTTATACCACCTGTGTACCATAAATATGATTACGGACACGATTATTCCAGCGGCAAAGCCACCAAATGTGGCACCAATAATTCCACCTATGTTGGTAGTTGCCGTTACAGAGTCACTGGCAACTTTATTGGTAAATACAGGTGATGTGCCGAAAAGGCTAACTGGATAATAGAGCTCTCCAGTAGTATAGGATGGAGTTGAATTTGTGACAGTAGCGATAGTAGTTTGATTGCTTAGGCTTACGACATTAAATTCGAATTGGTTAAACCAAACTTGACCCGTACCTAAATACCATAATTCAACACATGAATAAAAAAAAATATACAATTAAGCATTATAATTAAATAGACAGACCATGTAATAAAACACCAAAAACAAGGTTAACCGTGTCTTGAGTAACATCTAAAACACTTTCACATTTTGTCCAATCACCAGTGCCTGTAAATAAATAATCATGATGATATTAGAGTTTTATTCATTGTAATAACTTATGTTGAAATTGGTTGATGTTGAAATTTGAATCTCTATTTGACTATTATAGTGCTAACAACGACCCAATAAACAAAAAAACCTAAAAGATACCTGTGGGTAGAGGCCTGCATTGGACCCATGGCCCGGCCCAAAAATTTTTGAAAATTTTATAATAAATTTTGCGGGCCGGGCCTGAGAAAAAATCTATATATGCGGGCCAGTCCGCCAAAAATTTTAAAATTACAGCTGTTTTCATAAATTCTGACCGACCGAATATTTGCAGATTCGATAAGTTTTGATTCAACAGTGATAAGCTTTTGATTCGGATGTAATTACATCCGAATCAAAAGTGCTGAATCAAAACTTATCGAATCTGCAAATATTCGGTCGTTCAATTTTTGCCAGATTTTCCAGAATTTATGAAAACAGCTGTAAATGCGGTCCGGGCCGGGCCACAAAAATGCAGGCCTCTACCTGTGGGCCGATGATGAATTTCGTTTAGGTACGATAAATAAATACGAAGATTAATATCAACATAATAATACCGTTCAAAATACCCGGGTAAAAAAATTAAGGTTTGGAAAAATGTCTAGGTATTTTAAATGGGTACAAAAAATGAACCTGTGCATTAATGTATGTATAAAAAAGAAATGCAAACTAAAATTTAAAATTTCATACTAAACTAGGCCAAAAATTTCTGCATCAGCAATTTCATAAATTTTCAGTTGCCACATTCATTAAAATAATTAAGTTAATTGCCTTTAAGAGGTCGATAGTACATGCTATCGAGAGTTTCATTCGTGTTAGTATCAACTCGCATCCACAATCCAGTCCAGCCCGTCGTGACATTTTGAAATATATTAAATAAAATATGAAGTCCAATATATTGCATATTAATAATTGATAAGAATTCTTACAGCATATTTCACGTAACATGTTAATTTAACTCGCTTGTTTAAAAATCCTTGAGGAATAAAATTCTGCTCAAAAGCACCAAAAGATCCAAGATTTATTTTATTTTCGTAGGATGTATCAAATTTTATAAATCCACTTATTCTGGACTATTAAAATATATATACAGTATATCCATATCAATATGCAAATTTACAATATAAACAAAAATATATAGCTTACTAGATTTCCATAAAATATAGAAGAATCGACTTCCGTAAGATAATATGTTTTGTCAGAACCCTTGCGAGACCATCCCTCTAACAAGAAATTTTATTTAATAATTTAAAGTCAGGAAATGAACAAATGATTGTAGCGGCTTTGGTTCCTACCAGGAAAGTTATATGAAATTTCAGCAGGTATAGAAGGAAACAAGAAAAAAATGAGAAAATATAAGATGAGGTTATTGTTGGCCATTTGCATTATGTTGACTTGTTGATTCAATAACAACATTAGAGGTTTTTTTTTTTCGTTGCGTCGTTTTTAAAACCAAAATGTAAGCACCATTCTCGGAAACTATATTCTAAATAACACCGACTTTAGCATAAGGAGGAATGAATAGAAACCTAATGAATTCTCAACAAATCTATTTTTTATATTGATATCGACCGGCAGAATAAAATGTGTATATTAGGCCGTTCGAAATTCGCATTTTGGTTAACTACAAAAAATATGTAATATAGCAAGAAATCTCAACAGTTGTGTGATTGTCAATCATTATGCAAAGTTTCCGTACGCCGTATTACCAGTATTGCCACCGAAAATTTTCACGCTCATTTCGTTTGGCTTTTTTCAAAAATTCAGGGATACTTAAAAAATTTGCTCATTTCCTGAAATTTGGACACCACGTCGCTGTCTTCGGAACTTCAGTCCGAAAATAGTGATGTAATTTCCGGCGGGGTTGGCAAATGACAAAATTTTAGCAAATTAGTGACAAATGACATAGGTTACTTGTTATTTTTGTCATTCAAAAATAACAAATTTTAATAGCTTCTGATCCACTGGTTCGTTTTTGGATGATTTTACCACCCAAATGACTGTCTCGATGAGAAGATTTCAACAAACTAAAATTGATAAAATCCAATTACGGGGGTCGGTTAAAGCGGAGCGAATTCAATATATGATCTACATACTGCATATGTTGTATTCTTGATATCTATATAACCCGCTAACCATAAATGCATCAAAAAGGTAACTCTATACCTCGCTCCGCTTTAACCGACCCGCAATTACGGAATCCCGAGATCATGAGGACTTCGTGTCAATTTGAAATACCCCGATCACTATATGAAGATCACGGGGATTTTAGCAAAGATACCTTGATCTGTATGTGTACAAACGGATCGAAGTTTCCACTAATACCCAACGAATCAGGATATTTTTTATTACAAACACTCGAAGTGACAAAGGTTTAACGAGCTTAGGATCTATTTTAATAAAACTATTTTTGTCATTCATTTACCTTTTAAATGGCAAAGTGACAAATGAGACAATGTCACAACGTCATTTATACCATTTAAAAGTCACCTGATTTCCGAGGAGTTAGACGATTCAAAAGACAAAACGAATTGATTTCGGAAAACGAGCAAAATTTTCAAGTGTTCATATTTTATGAAATAGCTATAACAGGCTTACTAACGCTAATTTTGTTCGGCGCGAAGCGAGATTATGATCACTTATTTCGCGTGATTATAACTGCCTGCTCGCTGATTGGTTTGATATAGAATAATAACCCTGTGACTGAATTTCAAAGTAATATCGATTCAATTTAAAATGAACTGAACTATAAAGTTCACGTCTAAACCTGGCATGAACCGAGTTCACTTTTTTGAACTACTTGACATCCTTAAACTGAAGACGACAAACTTAACGATAACTTTTGGTTCCCTGGGTGATAAATTTACCCAATACTGTACTCAATATCTCCAAAAACTTTACCCAACGTATATCAAATTTGAACTCTTCAATTTTAATTTAGAGCCCTAAACTTTAAAAAATATATGTATGTGATGTTAAACATCATTGGTAACACTGATCTAAAATTAATATTTATAAGTTTACCAAAAATTAATACCCAAATTTCTTGCTAAAGAAATGTTATTAGATTTGTATATTTTTAGTATATTAAATAATTTGAACTTTTTTCTTATATATAATATAAAATAAATATAATATCTTTATTTTCAAGTGTGCGTTATCAAAAAATTTGTTTAAATATACATATATTTTAGAATAATAGAAAATATTCCACCTCCGTCAAAGTGACCTTTAAACCTTCAAAATCTTGAAACTAAATTCTCCAACCTAAGTTTTTCAAAGTGTTGGCACCGGGTATTGGATGTTTGCGGTTTTTATACCACCTGTGTTCCATAAATATGATTACGGACACGATTATTCCAGCGGCAAAGCCACCAAGTGTGGCACCAATAATTCCACCTACGTTTGCAGAGTCACTAGCGGTAAATACAGGTGATGTGCCGAAAAGGAAACTGGATAATAAAGGCTTCCAGTAGTATCAGGTGGAGAAGTTACATTTTCAATATAAAGACCGGTGGTTTGATCATTTGAGCTTACAACATTAAATTCGAATTGGTTAAACCAAACTTGACCCGTGCCTAAATACCATAATTCAACACATGAATGAAAAAAAGTATACAATTAAGCATTATAATTAAATAGACAGACCAAGTAAGAAAACGCCAAAAACAAGGTTAACTGCGTCTCGAGTAACATCTAAAACGCTTTCACATTTTGTCCAATCACCAGTGCCTGTAAATAAATAATAACACTAATATTAGAATTTTATTCATTGTGATAACTTATGTTGAAATTGGTTGTTGATGTTGAAATTTGGATCTCTATTTGACTATTGTAGTACTAACAACGACGCAATAAAAAGACCTTGTGGGAATCTCATTCGATGACGAATTTTGTTTAGGTACGATAATAAATACAAAAATTAATATCAACATAATAATACTGTTCAAAATACCCGGGTAAAAAAATTAAGTTTTGGAAAAATATCCAGGTATTTTAAATGGGTAAGAAAATAAACCAGTGCATTAAGGTATGTGTAAAAAAAAAATGCACACAAATTTTAAAATTTCATATCAAACTAGGCCAAAATTTCAACATCAGCAATTTCATCAATTTTTCAGTTGCCACATTCATTAAAATAATTAAATAGAATGCCTTTAAGAGGTCGATTCGCCATGTCATCGCGAGTTGAACTCGTGTTTGTATCAACTCGCATCCACAATCCAGTCCGGCCCGTCGTGACATTCTAAAATATATTAAATAAAAAATGAAGTATAATATATTGTATATTTAATGATTGATAAGAATTCTTACAGCATATTTCACGTAACATGTTAATTTAATTCGCTTGTTTAAAAATCCTTGAGGAATAAAACTCTGCACAATAGTACCATAAGAATTAGGATTTAATTTATTTTCGTAGGATGTATCAAATTTTACAAATCCACTTAATCCGGACTATTAAAAAAATATATATATCCATATCAATATGCAAATTTACGATACAAACAAAAAGTATAGAACTTACTAGATTTCCATAAAATATAGCAGAATCGACTCCCATAAAATAATATGTTGTGTCAATGCCCGCGCGAAACCATCCCTCTAACAAGAAGTTTTATTTAATTGAAAATTAGGAATGAACAAAAGATTGTAGCGGTTTTGGTTCCTACCAGGCAAGTTATATGAAATTTCAGCAGGTATAGAAGGAAACAAGAAAAAAATGAGAAAATATAAGATGAGGTTATTGTTGGCCATTTGCATTATGTTGACTTGTTGATTCAATAACAACATTAGAGGTTTTTTTTTTTCGTTGCGTCGTTTTTAAAACCAAAATGTAAGCACCATTCTCGGAAACTATATTCTAAATAACACCGACTTTAGCATAAGGAGGAATGAATAGAAACCTAATGAATTCTCAACAAATCTATTTTTTATATTGATATCGACCGGCAGAATAAAATGTGTATATTAGGCCGTCCGAAATTCGCATTTAAATATGTAATATAGTAAGAAATCTCAACAGTTGTATAATTGTCAATCATTATGCAAAGCTTCCGTACGCCGTCTTATCAGTATTGGCACCGAAAATTTTCACGCTCATTTCGTTTGGCTTTTTTCATAAATTCGGGGATACTTAAAAAATTTGCTCATTTCCTGAAATTTCGGAAACCACGTCGCTGTCTTCGGAACTTCAGTCCGAAAAATAGTGATGTAATTTCCGGCGGGGTTGGCAAATTACAAAATTTAATACATAGCTTCTGATCCACTGGTTCGTTTTTGGATGATTTTACCACCCAAATGACTGTCTCGATAAGAAGATTTCAACAAGCTAAAAAATTGATAAAATCCAATTACGGAATCCCGAGATCATGAGGACTTCGTGTCAATTTGGGTGTTTTAGAATTTAATTAACCCCGATCACTTTATCAAGATCACGGGGTATTAAGTAAAAATACCCCGATCACTATATCAAGATCACGGGGTATTT